TGATCCAAAACGGCAGGCAGCTGATTTTGTGTTGTTGCGGGGAGTTGACCCCTCTTCATTTTGCTAGTCAGGGAGTGACCCTGTCCTCGGGAGAGACCCGACATGCAATATGCGGTTGCTCGTTTGGCGGTACATACTGAGGAGGACTGCTTGAAGGTTTGCCGCCCGGGGTGCCATACCATGCGTTCAGGTGGATTGCGCGAGATGCCGAGGAGGCCGTGGCGGTTTTCGGTTTCCGTTTGCCGGGACGTATGCCAGGCGCTGTATTGTGGTCCCTGCTGGCACGCCACCGGCTCAAGCTTGGAGCAATTATAACCATGGCGGCGACGAGCGGTCTGCTGGGGAAGTATATGGCCTTCGGTCGGGTCTTTGGCCGACGGACATGCTGCCCGACCACGCCCGGGGGCGATCCCAGAGCAGATTTGGGTGGTCTGGCGAGACTGGCACCAAGGGGAAGTTATCTGGAGGGAGCCAGCTTTCTTCCCAGTGCCTTCTTGGGAGGATGGTCGCCGCGATCGCGCACGGGCTCTTTGGATGCTGCTGGGGGCCGTTGAGAGGTAAACAAGCACATTCTCGTGCGGTTGGGCTGCGCCAAAGGCTGGCCGTGGGCCGAAGCATGGGTTGAAGCGTACGGGGCACGGCAGCGGTGTGGCATCTGCTTCGACACCTCGGGACATCCATGGCAACTTCGGCGAGTGACCTTGTTTATTATGCAGGAGTATTTCAGCCGCCTGTGACCACGTATTCGTGGCGACGAATTGCCCCATCTATAGCTACCCTCCTTCAGCTAGATGAGGTTTCGCTCCTGGCGCTTGGGGATTGGACGGACAAAGGCAAGATCAAAGCGTCTGGTGCCACTCTGCCTTTGCACTACAGTGTACGCCCTTAGCGTCTGGACGAAACACCTCGTCCTGTCGGCGGCGGCCCGTTGCCTTTTGATGACACCTGCGATTCTGTGCCGCCGGGGCTCCTGGACTCTACGGATGCAGGCCTCCAGGACGAAGTGGCGGAGAAGGTCAGGCTGGAGGGCACCACCATTTGGAAGGTGGGGTCGCAGACCAGGCTGGCGTTCAAAACGACGGCTTTAGCTGCGTCGCCAGAGCCGGGAGGCGAAGCTGTCGGCGGGAGGGACCCGTCCGAAGCTTCGTTCAGGTCGCGTCCGGAGGCGTCTTTTGCGCCTGGCGACGTGCCGCCAGCGATCACTGTCCCTGAATTCAGGGATCGCACCCGAGGTGCCTCGTCGCCGGTAGTGAGCGTCCCGGAAATGCCAGCGACTAAGCCGAGGTTCAAAGCGAGGCGGGTGCCTGCAGAGACCCTGGTGAATGTCGAGGTGAAGGCCCTGGTCGAGCAGGAAGGGAGGCCATCTAGAGGATGCCAAAAAGGTGAGGAACCAAGTCCGACCGCCAAAAGGGCTGACCCCCCGCAAGGTGGTCTCCTCGTCTGGACCTTTGCGCCAGTTGGCCGCATTGGACTTGGACGAATAGGCCGCGCAAGCCACGTGCTGGGCTAGGGGTCGCAGAGCTGGCGTTCAAGGAAATGGCGCGACCGAGCGGCTGGCAGGAGGGAGGTCGAAGAGCAGCCACGCCGTGGGCGGAAGCGGCAGCACGCGGACGCGGATGACGAGATCGCCTGGTCCAGGAGTCTGTTGGGCGTGGCGACCGTCACGCTTTGCAGACACGCAAGGAGATTTGGCGCAGCACAGCGGGTCGGCTCTGCCTGGGTGCACTGCCTACCACCTCAATCTTTTCCCGACATCGCGCTGCAGATCACGGCTATGGCTCAGGACCCAGTGGCTCGGGGTGGCATTGTGTACTGCCGGGGGGCTTTGCGCCGCCAATGAAACATCACTTCAGGAAAGGCGGGCGCCGGTCTGCTTCTCTTGGTTAAGCACACGCTTTGGGAAGGGCAGAACGTCCTCGCGAACTGCATGGCAGGGCGCCATTGGGGTGCGTCAGCAGGTGCTGTGCTCCGGTCCATCATGAGTGGCGACAGTTTGGAGGAAAGCGAGCGCAAAATCCAAGAACGCCGGGACATTGAGTTGTGGCAGATCCGGAATGAGCACAAGGACTTGGCTGAGTGGATGTTGAGGGTAGTCCGGGTGACCAAATTGGGCGCGGCACCTCCACTCCCTGTGGCTTATGTTGCGACGCAGACGTCCTTGCTGCACCTTGAAACGGGAGGGGGAGTGACCCTTTGCCAGCACAGGCATGCCAAAGGTGCCCGGAAGCTGTCCGCCCCTATGCGGACCTCGGATAAGTTCGAGGCCTTTGCGTGGCTCAAAGAGAGCTGCGCCCAATGCTTCAGTATGGCTACACGAGAGCGCCAGGAAAAGGACACGAGTGCTGCGAAGTTTCCTGAGGGTTTGTCGTGTGAGGTTTTGCCATGTGAGTAGCGCATGTGCAGGTCTTGCTTCCTCTGCGCCCCCTCCTTCTGTCTTGCTTGCTGTGCGCAGGTGTTCCGCGTGAGTTTCGGCTTGAGTGAGGTATATTCGAGCAGAGCTGGGAGGGACCCAGTCGGCGGGGAGCCGAGGCCTGAGTGACAGGCGGGTGGGCGGCATGTCGCAAGCCCTGGTCCCGAGAGACGGAACCGACTTCAAGGAGTCCTTGGACACCCTCGCTCTCAACTTTTCCCCAGCTCCGGAAATCCAGACGAGGCTTCTTGCGGAAGGGTTGAATCGTTTGGAGGAGCTCCGGTTCTTCTTTGACAATGAGGAGCACGTGGGGCGTCGGGTTGCCAAACTGGGGTTGGGCGATAAGACCATGTTGGAGACCTCCCGTCTTCGGCGGGCAAGACGCTCTAAGGTGGCCCTGACAGACCTGGACACGATGCTGGAGGACGCGGAGCTGCGTGATGCTAAACAGGCCTTTTGGAAGCGCTATTGCTTGCGTTTTCCGGCCGAGGTTCATCCCGCGGATTCGCTGCTGTCCAGAGTCTCTCGGGAGCTTTCGAAACGGATGCTTTGTGTTTTTGCCATTTGGAAGGTCCGCTCTCTCTACTTTCAGCTCACAACCGTGCAACGCAAGCGCAAGTTGGGAGATAATCTGTATACTGAGGAGATCGAAACGGAGGAGTCCATTTCGAAGGACGTGGAGACGTACCTGGACAAACTTTACACGTTGCTCCCGGCTTACGCTATGGCGGGAGTGCACTCGCTTCCAGGCGTGGATTTGAGCAAGGAGGCTGAAGAACTCTTCAGTGGAATTTGTGGGGGTCCCTCTCGATGTCGCCATGGCGTACTACTTTCGGGCCAAGAAATGTGTCTCATCCTTGCCCCGGTCTCGTCGGCTGCAGTGGCTGCAGGCCAAGGACATAGAGGAGCGCAGCGAGTGGGTCACCCGCTTTCGCGAAGATACAGCCCCGCTGGCCCACTGGGAGTCATCATCAAGCAGGTTATGGAGGCAGGATTGGGTGGTCACCAGGACGGCTGCGTCAGGTGGTCTGGGGGAGGCCCAGGCGACCGGTGGCACCGGTGCCACAGCTTCACAAGCCGCTTTGCAGGTTTCGTGGTGGCAAGCGTGTGGCGGCTGTGCTCAAGGATGGTACCAAACTGTGTCCTGATTGGGCGCGCACAAGTGCGGCGTTATCGTGCGAAATCAGCGAGGTTGTGGCTCGTCTGGGCATGGAGCCCACCAGTGCCGTGAAAAGGTCAAGTGAGGGTGCCCCGAGGCTGGGGCGGAGGACCTTGCCTCGGGGAGTGATGCTGAACCTCCGGAAGCATCTGCGGATGCACCTCCCCTCATGGACCTTATGTGTGGCCCTCGTGCTCCCTTGACCCGGGCTTTCTTATTCTGCGGTTGGCGCGCAGGACCCGTGGATGTACTGCTCAATCCTGCCCAGGATCTGTCCCTTGTGGATTTCCTGTCGGAGCTTCGAAGCAGTCTTGATCAGGCTTGCCTGCAGTTCGCCGCTCTGGATTGCAGCACGAAGTCGGCTATTCGAGAAATCCCGCTCAAGTTTGAGAGTGGCCGCCCAACGCCGCGCCCTCTCCGCAGCCATGAGCATCCACCTGGCCTGAACATTAGTGATCAGCGCCGTGTCTCGAAGGATAGCTGCGCCTGCAAGTTTGTCCTTGACGAGCAGCAGAAGATTCTTGAGCGAAGTGGTGGTGCAATCCGCGAGAACCCCAGCAATAGCTTGCATTGGTGCATCCCGCAAAAAGCGGAGATGTGGGTCTCCGGCCAGTGGTGGGATGCGAGATATGATGCCTGTTGCTTCATGGGGGCGCGGCGTAAACGCCAGCAGCTCCGGCACAACATCTGGGAGTTGACCCAGGGCCCCCAGATGCCATGCCACCACACCCACCATCCAGCAGAATGGCAACCGTGGGAGTCTGACGATCATGTCGTTTTCCCTTCCAAGGAGGAGGCAGAGTATACTGCCCCGTTTGCTTTTCATGTCGCGGTGGCCTGCAGCTGGTGGGCGTGTCGGCTCGGCTTTGCTAAGCTACATGTGCCACGTGGCCCACCGATGCAATGCATGGGGCGTCGTGAGCATTGGCTGGACATCGACCCTCGAGCCCTGCGGGAGTGGGCTACGTCCCCATTGGGCCTGCGGCCAATCGACCCAAGCGAAGCTGCCAGGGTCCCCAGCGTGTGGAGGTCGCAGCGGTCCTCAGACAAGATAAGACTCTGCCGCCCGGGGTTGTGTATGTCGGACGAGGTCATCACTCCCATCGTCTGCCGGTGACGCAGTGGGCGTCGCCGATTTGTGCCAGGGCACAACTGTGGCGCCGACGAGTGGCTTTCGTTGTACGTGGAGCACATTGTCGCCAACTTGCAGACGGATTTGGTGCAACTTGAAGGCAAAATCCTTGCCTGTGACTGCCCCCTTTCACAGGTTTGCGAAGGCGATCTCTTGGCCGGTTTGGTGTTTGACGGAGGCGTCCCCAAGGGAACACCTCACCCGCCGGCGGCGGGCAGGCCCAGGCGCAGTTCATAACGCCGTAGCCACCAGGTGTTGCTAGCTGCTGTTGCCTCCAATCTGCCCACCCCGGTGAGTGCGGTCATTCCTTACGTGCATCAGGAGGCAGTGGTTTCGGCTTTCACCTCTTTCTTTCCTGCCGATCACCTCGCCGGGTTCCGCTTCCCCATGATCGAGGATCTGATCAATTCTCCTCCCTTCACTGACTGTCTGCAATGGTGTTGGGCGCGTGATGAGGAGGGTTTGATATGCTCGAAAGGTGGGAACCTTTCTGTCCATGTCGTTACCTCGAGGTTTTTACCAAAGCACTATCCCGGAGTGTCCGGGTTACCTTCAGAGATTCGAACTGGAAGCAGCAGTGAGCGCGAGATCGGAAAAGAGAGAGTGCGAGCTGTATCCTATCTAGTGCAAGCTGGAATGAAATGTCGTAACAACTAAACTTACTGCTGTCGAAATACAAATTAGAGCTTGGTAAGGTTGAGCTCCATGCCTTCGAACATGCATACCATCACTCACACATCCTTGGCTTCGAGTGGGCTGCTGCAACGATGTTTCTTCGCATCAGCTCCAACGCTGGACAACACGGGCAGCAAGCGGATGCAGACGGCTGAGGTTGTGGGTTTTTAACTGAACCCAAGTGTCTGAGGTTGCAACACTTGGAGTCGTCAGTGCTCAGATGGTTTGGGCCTTTCCGGCTGTTGCCAAGAGGAGGAGTGACTTCTTGCCGAGCCGAGGTGCGACGAGATGGGCGCTTGCTCGGTGCAGGAGGTCCAACGGATAGAGACCGTTTTGTGCTGGCGGTTGAATCTGAGCTTGCCGCTTGCCTAGCAGGTGGTCGACTGCCTCGAGTATCTCATAGCTGCACTGGATCTGCAAAAGCCCGCGGCCCGAAAGCCCTACAGATACTTAAGATACCCTTGCCGCCTTTGAAGTCCAAGCTTTGCGAAGCTACGCCATTACGCTCTGAGGTCGGATGCCAAGCGGCTCTGCTCCGAAGCCTCACGAGCGCTGAAAAAACTAAAGACGCCAGGAGCAGCCATTGAGCCACGTTGCACCCATCATGGACATTCGTTTTGCCTGGAAGGAGCCCTGGGCTTGAGAAAAGAACAAAAGGCTTGTTTTCCTTCGATTTTGCGTAACATAAGCAACAATTCTTGTGTCGGTGTCACAAAACGGTACCTGCTTTTGTGCGCGGAGGTCCCGTCAACCCCTCCCACGACTCTGGCGCAGGACCAGATGTCTGCATACTTCAGTAGCCTTGTCTGAACTTCCTGCAACGTCACCGTTCTTCGATGCAGAAAGCTGTGTGGATAATGAATCAGGCATCTGCGGCTTCAGGCAACCGAGTCGTGACGTGGACACCAGCTCCCAAATTCCAATCCGACCTGCCAAGTGCGACCGTTCGGCATCGATTATTTCTGGTTGCTGATGGAGAGATGCGAATGCGGGAACGAAGGAATGAAGATTCCTGTGTTGTGTGATCAACGGACTCCGTCACCTAAGCCGGAGACTTGAGGCTCTAAGGAAAGATGTTCCAAAATGACTTTCTCGGGTTTCGCTTGTGTACGAGCATATTTGGGTCTGAATTTCCCGCAGATGGAGCGAGATTTGTCCTGGAAGGAGCTTCCCGGCCTGAAGCCTTTCACTCGCACCAGGCGAGTCATGTCGAAAGAGGTAGTCGTGCTCGTGCAAAGTGTTGTCCAGGCAAGGCCTGAAGAAAAAGATGATGAAGGACGATGCCAATGTATACACGCCTAATACATCGTGTTGACGTTGCATTGCTGCTGATGAGATCTGCAAGGGCATGCACCGTGTCCAGGACAGGCAGCGGCAGCTGGCTTCCACCATGAGTGAGGCCTGCGACAGCAACTTTTGATTCGGTTCGCCTTGCAGAGCCGCCGGCCTGCTTTTCAGGGAAGCATCACTGATGGTCTTCAGAGGCAGCTGACTCTTGTCACAGTTAGCGAGAGAGCTGTTGAAATAGATGCATATGTGGAGGAAGCCGACAACAGACGATTTTTCGTCTGTTGAAGCAGCGAAGGACGAGTGTTTGGTGATCGTGACTCATACCCGAACCCAACCCGTTTCGTTCGGACAGCTCGTTTCGAGGTGCTCCTAAACAGTCCTTGCTGCTTCCGACTACCTGGACGAGCTGTGTCAAAACCTGCCCACAATCGTGTGATTGAGGAGAAGCTCGCACTGCAGCTTAAGGAGGAGGAGGCAGATGCAGTTTGGGTGGATCCCTAGTTATGCAGATTGCTGTGCGAGCACCAGAGGAGTTTTTGGAATGCCCGAGGAGAAGCAGAAGGATGCTGCGATCACCGCTTTGAATGCTGCTCTCTCGAAGAAGTGTCTGGAGCGGAGCACTGCCACTGCTGTCTGCTGTCCCTGAGTCCTACTTGAAATCAAATTCGAGAGTGGTTCGAGCCCGTCCTGCGGCATCACTATCACCAGTACTGTTAGCCTCCGCCGTGCTTCTTCAGCGGCATCCGGTAGGGTGAAACTGTCACAGGCCTGCTGCAGGCATCACATTCTTTCTTGCTGGAGTTTGGGAGGTTTGTGGGCTGTGTCGCAGAGCAAGGGCCCTAAAGGACTCGGAAGGCTGACGATGCCTGAGACTTCGAGCGTGCAGCTTGGGCTGATCGATGACGATGTATAGGTAGTCTACCTCAGCCCCTGGCGCCATGAGACGACCGGCGTGGGTCCGGTTCGCCGGCCCTCGTCTGACAGCACCCTTAAATGAAAAATGTGAAGCAGTGGGGATGGCACTGCGTTTCGCTATAGTGCCGTTGCCGAAAGCAGGACGATCTGGGAGCGGCAATCCAGATGATGGAGGCTGTGGCTTACACCAAGCAAACCTGCTTCATACTCGCTCAAGACTAAGATGTCATGTTGCGAGGAAGGGCCTACACAAACCACGTAATCATTCAAGCACGTTTTGTCAGGCGGTCGGCCTGGATTCGCATGAGCTCGTGGCAACAGCCAAACGGGTGCGCCCTTGTTATGTCTTGCAATGTCTGCATATGTGATCTCAGCTGCTCAGCATATTCGGCACGACGCACACATGCGTCCCAATCCTGGCTTCCCAAGTTTCCCTTGTAGTGCTGCCTGGAAGGATCAGGAGATGTTGTCCCGGCGTCATCTGCAGCTTTGCGAAGAGTCCGTTTGCGCTCTGCAGGCTTGGCGTCTGAGGTGTTTCCAGCAAGCTCTCGCGGTGTCACGGGCCGCCAAGCATCAAGTTTTGCGAGGGCTTGGGTCTGCATGTTGCCACAGATCCCGGGCTAGCAGGCTCCCCTAGCATGGAAACCTGCAACTAGTTTGAGAGTGTTGTTGCGACGAAGCTATGTTGGCTGCAGGCTGCACTGGAAGCACCGCGAGATGACCGATTCGGCTCGCGACTTTGTGATACACCGCCTGGTCAGTGGGCGCAACAGAGACGAGGCCAAGCGATCCGAGAAGCTTTGCAGAACGCTTCCTTCGCCTGCCAAGTCTGAGCCTCGGCAGGGCTTTCGAGCAGGGCTCCTTGAGATGTTCGGATGTTCGGCTTGCCGAGGCCGTTTGGGTCGCATCCTTCAGTCTCTTATCAGCTTGAGAATGCCTAAAATGCGGTAGATTATGGGGACGATCGTGGTTCTATAGCATTCTGAGTCATCTTGACTTTAATGAGCACGCTGCAACATCACTTCATTGGCCTTATTGCCATGACTAGACTCACCATTCTAGAGTCAGCGCCGGTGAGGGAACTTCGTCTTGGCCCTCACGTGGGTTTCCTGGTTTCCCTCGCTTGACTTGTGTCGTCAACATCCACCCGGAGATTTCTGACTCCACCCACAATTCCCCTGGCCCGCTTCTTAGAGGTTGTTCGGGTGCATTCCAAGCTCCAGCTGTTGCCAGCAGACCTCAGTCGCACCCTCGAAAGACAAACACTCTGTGAGGGAGGGGCCGCGTACTCCCCGCTTTTGCTGTCACTTCGCGGTTCCATGCAGAGCCGACGACGGGGGCATCTCTCGGGCCTTGGGCTGGTGCACTTGGGTCCGTCGCGGGGCTGGTTTCGAATGCTGAAGCTAACTAGAAGACATGTGGCCCGAAAGCATCATTTGCGAAGAGTTTAGCGCTA